GGCATACCAGGGGTTGTGACTTTAAATATATATATATATATACACATACATACATACATACATACATACATACATACATACATACATACATACATACATACATACATTGTATTTTTGCTGATAAATAAATAAAAGGAGACTACCGTAGTATAGATCTATTTCAAGCTATTTAGCTCTCATCAACTAGCCATACCCTTACTGGGATTCGAACCTGGGCTGTATTACATATTAGGCAGACCCTTTATTTATTTATCAGCACAAATAAAAAACACAAATATAACAAAGGCAACAGTAAAAATATTGGGTTTCTGTCGTGATGGACTCTGAGGGTACATTCTGTCAAGATGCTACAGTTCCATCTCTGCACTTCGATAATCAGAAAAAGTGACATTGGTAAATATCATTAAGAACTTACAGAGTATATTTAATCAATACGTCAATTATTAAGTGTCACCACCGTCTATCACCAGTCTTAAAAGTCCCTTGGTCTTTAAAAATGCTGAGCCACGTGTCCTAAACCGCTGAATACTAGTGACACCTATTGGATGAAAAAAATAATAGTAGTAAGAACTGTGAGAGAAAAAGGTTCCATAGGCACAATACCTTTACTAGCTGTAGTGCATATATGGCCTGCATTGATTTAGAATAAAAATGCAACCTTTCTTTCAATCTCACATTCAGATTAATCATTCCCCCCCCTCTCCATTTTGCAAATATAAAGTAAACTAAAAAAAAAAGAGTGATTATGTGTACTTAAGCTGTATTATGTAACCTGAAAAAAAACCCAACTTTTTAAAATCCCAAGTATTTGCATACAAGCCTGTTTCCCTCTGTAGAAACCACAGGCAGCTTATCTGGAAGATTAAAAAATTGTTGGAATGAAAGGCCACACTAAACTCTCCACCAGCGCTACGGGGAAATGAAGATTGAAAATCGATTCTCCTCCTTTTCATTTGACTGTGTGGGTAGAAAATCCTGCTTTGTCAGTGCTCCAGTTGGTCACAAGACTTCACTTGTGTTCAGGTAAGAAGCCCTGTTAAAACCTTCCCATAAGAGAGTGGGGATAAACTGGCATCGGTGCAGAGTTTAAGGTGCTGGACCGGAAAAACTGGGCGCGCTTGATTCCTAGTCCTTCCTCAGGCACAGACGTCAGTTGAGTGACCTTAAGTGCAGCCCAACCCATCTCTCAAGATTGCTGCCGTGGGAAAACAGGAGGAGGTAGTGTGATATACACTACCGTGGGTTGTATGAAATAAAGGTCGGATAATAAATGAATCTGCATGCCCAGCTAATCTTTAATTTCAGGCCTTGTGTAAGATGTTTGCTTGCAAGTGCCATTGTACTTGTTCCTAGATTGATTTATTGCTATCAAGCAGTGGTGGGTTTCAAAAATTGTTTGAACCTACTCTGTGGGTGTGGCCTCCTTTGTGGGAGTGGCTTGCCACCCATGTGACCAGATGGGAGTG